TTATTGTAGAGATGAGGTCTCACCAAGTTGCCCAGGCTGGTCTCAAACTCGTGGGCTCAGACCATTCTCTCACCCCAGCCTCCCAAAGTGCTGAGATTATAGGCGTGAGGCACCGCGCCAGGCCTATTGAGAGGTTTCTAACAGTCTGAATCCTGGGTGGAATTTCTATTTGGTGTCCATCAGATAACAGTCCTCTCAAGTCCTGTACTCATTTCTCTGGATATTAAAAAGTTCCTTTCCCCCCCCCCCACCCCCAGAAGTTCCTTTTTTTATCCTTGCCCTTCCTCCCTCCTCCTGCCCTCAAATCTTCTGATCAGTGTCCAACTGCTATTTTCACTCAGAGAAATTTCCTCTTAGCTCATTAATGTAGTAAGAAAGCTGAGTATAATGTCCCAAATGCACTTTCCTCAGAAATCTTTATTGATTCAGAAACTTAGTCCCTTCTGAAAAATACTTCTCAGAAAACCTGATTGTTAGATTAAATATGTTATGCTGGTTTTAAAGATACTTATGTTTGGAAAGCTTCCACACAGAGCTGTTGCCAAATAGGCCCTCTCTTGTGTTTAAATGGGTCTCCTACTTTACTTTCATTTTCTTCTACTGTTTCACTTTTAAAAATCTCATTGTCTTGGTTGTATTTTTCAGTCAAGTCCTAATTCGAAGCAGAGTCCTCAGGGAAAATGGAAAATACATTCCCAAACAGGTACTCATTTATCTTTTATTAAAAAGCCCCATCATTCACTACAGAGAGCAGTAGATTTGTAAATGTTTTATAAGGGGACTCTTTGGGGAAAGCTGAAGGTTGGCAACTCAGTAATCAAGCTGTGACCTAGTGGTGTTTGCTGTCATTGTGACCTCACTCTTGTTAGGAAATTGTTTTTAAATGTGACTCAGCTAAAGTGTCAGTTCAGCTGCCAAGTAGGCTGACAGCTCTGAGTGTAGCAGCATATTCTGAGGGCCTTCTGACTAAACCCTCTGGGGAATAATTTGACAATTTTCTATGTCATAGTTCTTAGACTTAAAAAGCTTTTCTTTCTACTAGTCTTTCTTGACACGAAAATATTACTTCAACAACCCAGAGGATGGATTTTTCAAAAAAACCAAAAGGAAGGTAGTGCCACCTTCTCCTATGACCGGTATGTTTATTCCCTTCTCTCATCTTTGAGGAAGATTTTTAACATGGGTTATTGAGTACAGTGGGGTGGAAGGGGAGCATGTCGTTGTATTTAAATGTTAAACTGTAGAAGTTGGTCATCTAAAATTAGATAGAAATTATCTAATACAGGGATCTGTGGAAGTGGAGTTCTCTTTTTCAAGTAAAAACTTCTGAGAACCCCTGTGTTTAAAGTGGATTTTTAAAAAAATAAGCTCTCAGCTGGTGGAGTAGGCAGGCCAGAGCCATTGTCCCTGTGTCTCTCCTTGTTTCTGTTCTCAGGACCCATGATTCTGTGGAGCATAGATGGGAAAGCATTCCAGCCCCACCTCCCACCCATGCCTGGATCCCATTGCTGACAGATGGCTACCCAGCTTCTGCCTGAGTGAGGAGAAGCTCATGCTTCCCAAGACCAGCCATTTTTTTGTCAGACATGATTGCCTAGTTCATTCAAAAATTTTGGCTCTAACATATTTCTTACTTCCACTCATCCCAGTTGTGTGAAAAAGACAGCATGTTTAAACTAAAACAAAATAATTTGTTGTTCTGTGCTGACCTCTCACTTCAGTACTACTCATTTCTTTAGGTGAGATAACCAGCTATTTTAATACAGAAGTTACTAGAGTTAATTTTTTTTTTTGAGTTCTCACTCAGTCGCCCAGACTGGAGTGCAGTGGCCGCTCCCGGCCACTGCAGCCTCGACCTGCTGGACTCCGGCGATCCTTCCGCCTCAGCCTTCCGAGTAGCTGGCCCGGCTGATTTTTTGATTTATTGTAGAGATGAGGTCTGGCTGCCCAGGCGGGTCTTGAACCCGCGGGCTCAGGCAATCCACTCACCTCAGCCTCCCAAAGGCACGGGATTACAGGCTGAGCCACTGAGCCCGGCTAATTTTTTTTTTTTTTTTTGGGTGACTAAGGAAACAAAAGAAACATATGAAAAGATACTTGGCCTTACTAATAATCTATGGAATACAAATGAAAACAAGATGTCCTTTTTTTTAGCCCACTGGGTTTTCAAAGATTGAAAAGATTGACTACAGGCCACATGCAGTGGCTTGCACCTGTAATCCCAACACTTTGGGAACCCAAGGTAGGAGGATTGCTTGAGGCCAGGAATTTGAGACCAGCCTTGGCAACTATCAAGACCCTGTCTCTACAAAAAAAAAAAAGAAAGAAAGAAAGAAAAATTATCCGGCTGTGGTGGTGTGCTCTCTGTAGTCCCAGCTACTCGGGAGACTGAGGCAGAATTATCATCTAAACCCAGGAGGTGGAGGTTGCAGTGAGCTGTGACTGTACCACTGTACTCCAACCTGGGGACAAAGTGAGACACTGTCCCAAAATAAAAAAAGAAAAGATTACCCACAGCTTCTATTATCAAGGTCAAGGAAAGTTAGGCCCTGTTACCATTGGCGGGAGTGTCAAATGGTGGGGTCTTGTTGAAGGATGGTCTGACAGTATCCATCAATTTCAAATGTACAAATTCTTTGACCCAGAATTATTCTAAGAAGGTCTTTTACATAAACATATCTATGTACAAGATTTATGTATAAGATAGCAGCATTGTTTATTGGCAAAAAAATTGGAAACAATCTCAAGGTCTACCCAAAAGTGATCAGTGTGACCACACAGTAGAATCTTATGCAGATATTAAAAATATTGAGAGAGATATTATGGCATTGTAGAGTGCCATTTATAGTATATTAATTTTTTTAAGTTAAGCAAAATAGTAGACATAATACTTCTATTGTATATGTATACACGTAAATTATTATGTAGATATATAGAGAGAGAGAAAGATAGAGGGACTTACAATAAGCAGTTAAAAGTGTTTGGAGAAGCCGGGCTCAGTGACTCAGCCTGTAATCCCGTGCCTTTGGGAGGCTGAGGTGAGTGGATTGCCTGAGCCCGCGGGTTCGAGACCCACCTGGGCAGCGAGACCTCATCTCTACAATAAATCAAAAAATTAGCTGGGCGTGGTAGCGCACGCTTGTAATTCCGGCTACTGGGAAGGCTGAGGTGGAAGGATCGCCGGAGCCCGGCAGGTCGAGGCTGCGGTGGCCGGGAGCGGCCACTGCACTCCAATCTGGGTGACAGAGTGAGACTCCAACTCAAAAAAAAAAAGTGTTTGGAGAGTGGACTCAGAGGAACTGTCTATATCATACATTTTTATGTTGTTTGAATTTTTTTTTACATTGAGCTTATTTTTAATTATCAAATACATTAAAAATTTACAAAGATCAGGAGAAAGTCCCTGCCAACAGAGGTAAATTCTCATGGTTTCTTGTGCTTTTATCTAGATCCCACTATGCTCACGGACATGATGAAAGGAAATGTAACAAATGTCCTCCCTATGATTCTTATTGGTGGATGGATCAACATGACATTCTCAGGCTTTGTCACAAGTAAGTTACAGACCCAGCAGACTTGATGTTTATTTCATCTATGTTCCTTTCCCATGTCCCTATTCAGAGACATCTAAGTACTGCTAAGACACTAGGATCACAGGTCCTGTATTTTTATGTGGAAACTGATAACATTCTTTGAACAAAAAAATTAAATATGCTATGATTTTTGTAACTCTTGCCCCAAAATGATCCTAAGTTCATGATGTGGATGCTTTTTTTTTTTTTTTACTAGATACTCAAACAAGTGACTTGCTAGTTTGTCTCCAAAACTAATATAATATTCTAGTTGGGTAGGATAAAGGGGAAGCCTATTTCTCCTCCCACCCCCACCCCGGAAGCCTATTTCTACTTTGACCTCATTTGTTAGGTGTGGGGGTGAGTTTTCTGTTTATTTGTTTATAAGTTGATTTGATTTTAATCAATTTGGCTTCTTAGTAACATGTATATATAGTCCACTTAGGGTTTAATGGGTCAGTGCAAGTTTTTCCACATTTTAGGTCACAGCTCAGTTTGAGTTCCTGTTTCCTCAGCAATATAGAAGCTGGTATTATTCAGGGACACTAGAGCAGAGTGACATTTTGATTGTTTTTCTTCAGAATTGCCACAGATTTCCTTGCAGAAATCATTTTCCAAAAGCTATGTGGCACAGAATTCCCACCTCTTTAAGGAAAGATTCACACTTAAACTCTCTTAAAAATAAAACAGCTCAGAGTGATTGTGAACTTTTTCTTCTCTGCAGCCAAGGTTCCATTTCCATTGACCCTCCGTTTTAAGCCTATGCTACAGCAAGGAATTGAACTGCTCACATTAGATGCATCCTGGTAAGAACTTTTCTTTTATTTACTAAAAACACAAACCAAAATCTAAAACTGGTGTGTCTCCAAAACGTCAGGATTTCCAGTTTACATACTTCACTGGAATAGATTTTTATAGGTTTTTTTGTTTTTGTTTTTTTTCCCATTGAAACTTCATTAAAAGTATCCCTGGTTGGAAGGCTGAGGCGGAAGCATCGCCTGAGCCCAGCAGGTTGAGGCTGTAGTGGCCATAAGCATGCCACTGCACTTCAGCCTGGGCGACAAGAGCCATGCTCCAACTCAAAAAAAAAAAAAAATACCCCTAGTGGCTTATGGCAACTTTTACATGAGTCTTGCAAAAGGAGAGGATGTGCTAATCTCTTTTCTCTAGCTTCTCGGGGCTTAGAATGCAGGAATGGATATATCAGCCTCCAAAAAGTTAAACGATTAAGTCAGTAATATTGGCCAGGCAAACCTTTTTAGCAATACCCTGGGACTTATGGGAATGGATGTTTGTATTATATTTTTCTAAAATACAATACTAATAATGGTAACATTAATAGTTTTCATGAGTTCCAGTCACTGCTAGGTGTTTTGCATTTATTATTTTATCCTCATAGCAACTTATGAAGTCTATGGAGGAATTGAGATTGAACCACAAAGTCTGTCCAAGTCCAGCACTCATGTCTTGTTTACCACTTTATTTATTTATGTATTTATTTATTGAATAGGAGTCTCACTTTGTTGCCAGGCTGGAGTGCAGTGGTACGCTGCTCACAGCCACTGCAGCCTCAACCTACTGAGCTCAGGCGATCGATCCTTCCACCTCAGCCTTCCAAGTGACTGGAACTACAGGCATGTGCCACCATGCCTGGCTACTTTTTTGATTTATTGTGGAGATGAGGTCTCACCAAGTTGTCCAGGCTGGTCTCGAACCCGTGGACTCAGGCAATCCTCTCACCTTGGCCTCCCAAAGTGCTGGGATTATAGGCGTAAGCCACTGCACCCAGCCTTATTTTTTATTTTTTAAGAGATTGCTCCTTCTGTATACTACTTTCTTTTTTTTAGTAGCAAAATAATAAAACCTGAAATTTGAAAGGCCCTTAGAAAACAGAGTATCTGGAACCCAGTGATGCTGCTTCTTATGGCCTCGCCTGACTGTTTTTACTGTGACTTCCCAAACACTGGTATAAAAAAGATGTCAAACAGGAGGAGAATAATGGGCAAAATGGGAATCTCCATGGGGCATCTTGACTCACTACTTGGTTTGAGTAATGCTGCTGCTGGTTGTATGTGAGGAGCAGGACAGACCAGATGTTGGAGAGTCTTGGCTGTGCACAGCTCTACTAAAGGAGGAAAGCTGTACTTGGCATAAGAAGTATGACTCTATTAAACTTGAACCTTGCAGTCTCATTTGGGCTAAACAAAAACTACATGGGATGTAGAAAAGCTTATTTATCTTTTCTCAGCATCTGGACGATATGTGAGTGACATGCTCACATGGACAGATGGGAGGCTAGAACCGGAGTGTACAATTACTATTGTTGATCAGCACCATTACCTACCGATAAGTCATTTACTTACCTGCAGCCTGATGGAGTAGCCAAAATAAACACCTGCTGTTATGTGTCCTAAGTATTGGAATGAAGTGTGGATCTTTCCATTTACATATCATTTTTCATACTCATTTTAGTTTTTATCATATGGAAGCATATTTTTTTTATGGGAGCAGGGTAGGAAACTTAAGCTAAAGGAAGCCTTGGTGATGAAGTTCAAACTTGGAATGACTTTACCAGTAGCTGTAGTCCTCAGTATTGTCAGTATTTCCTGAAAGCCACCTCTAATCCTCCCTTGTAAATATGGAACACACTGACACTTGTGATTTCCTCTAGAAAATGAGATTCAGGAAGGAGACCTCTTTCAATTTTTATTGAATACTTCTGTGTTGGTAAGACTGCCTTAACAACTTGAATTTCTTCTGTAGTTGTGCTTTGGATAAATATACCTTATCCCAGTTGATTTTTTTTTTTAAAGGATATGGGGTTCAATTCAGGGTTAGGTAGACAAATGCTCATTATGTAAGTACCCTTGTTGATGAGGTGTGCCCTCCTCCCCCCCCATTGATTTCTTTACATACATTGAACAACTTTTGAATGGTAGAAGAGTGTGAGCTAAATTAAACAACTAATTTCTAAATAACTACCTAAACTGTTTTTGCTTTTGCTTTACCAGGGTAAGTTCTGCATCCTGGTACTTCCTCAATGTATTTGGGCTTCGGAGCATTTACTCTCTGATTCTGGGCCAAGATAATGGTAAGAAGCGTGTCAGGTTTGATAAGCAAATACTTCAGTAGATAAATCATCCATGCCAAAGCCAGAAAAAGCACATAGGTTATGCTATTTGTTAGCACAGTCAAATACAATGCTTCATTCCTTAAGTTTCTGAAAGAGTCTTACCAGTTACAGGGATCACATTGAAGATCTGAATTCTTCCTGGCAATCATTGGGGCAATATTTGATTCCCCAGAATCTGATACCTTCATGTGCGGGATCTACTACCAGCAATGTAAGCCTGTAAACCTAAAGCTTAAAGAAGGCCTGGTTTGATCAGTTAGTTCATTCACTAGATTCCTTGCCAGTACTGATCCTGTCTCTCTTGTTTAATGACTGGCACCACAGAAAGGTTACTTAACCACTCCAATCCTCTGTGTGCTTATATGGAAATAGGGACCTTATTAGTTAACCTGCAGGGTTGTTAGGAGCAGATGAGTTAGAATACGCAAAACACTTAGTAGGTACCTGGCATATAGTACTTGCTCAGTAATTGGTGGCTGTTATTGTTAAAATTTGAAATACAGTTTAGATCTTCCTTTATTTATCTCTCTTCTGCAATTATCATCCCCGTTTTTCAGTAGAGTAGCTTTCTCAGGGGCACATAGTGTGTGACAGAGTAAATCAGTAACCTGTCATCCAGTTCTCTAACCCACCACTGAGCAGCTGTGAGTGCTGTATAAGGCCCATTTCTCCCTCCTGGTGCTGGGATGCTTGCCGAGACTTGGTCCTCACAGAGGTATGTCTTACGCTGCAGCTGCTGACCAATCACGTATGATGCAGGAACAGATGACTGGAGCTGCCATGGCCATGCCCGCAGACACCAACAAAGCTTTCAAGGTACACTCCATTCGTCTTTCAGAGCTGCAGTGAGGCAGAGAGTTACTTTAAAAATGGATTCCCCACAGTGAGTGTAGATTGGTTCCATCATTTGAATTTAAATTTAGCAAGAATATATTAAGTTGGAGATTATTGGTACTTTTACTAGTTTTTAAATGTTTACTGGAATTTAATCTACACTGTAAATAAAGTTGTAAAACAGGCCAATCAGAGGTACCAGGTAAACATTTGGAATATTTTGAACCTTGTTGAAACCTATAGACATAGATGTAAGTTGTATTTTTAAAAATTTGATGCTTAGAGCCTTTTCATGAAAGGATTCTGGAATTTATACTATTCAGTATAATTTTTGTACAGCGAAATATTTCATAGTACAAACTAGAAATAAAAGGGAACATCCTCATCCTGATAAAGGACATTTACGAGAAACTCACAGCTAAGTAACATCATACTTAATGGTGAAAGAACTATATGGTTTTCCTCCAAGATCAAGAACAAGACGGTCGGGCGCAGTGGCTCAAGCCTGTAATCCCAGCACTTTGGGAGGCTGAAGCGAGAGGATCACCTGAGCCCAGCAGGTTAACCCTGGGGTGGCTGTGAGCATGCCATTGCACTGCAGCCTGAGTGACAGAGTGAAAATCTGACTCAAAAAAAAAAAAAAGAGCAAGACAAGAACGTCTGCTCTTGCCACTTCTATTCAACATTGTACTGGATATTCTAACCAGGGCAGTTAGGCAAGAAAAAGAAATAAAAGCCATTCAGGTTAGAAAGGAAATGCAAGTGTCTCTGTTTGCAGATGGCATAGTCTTGTATATAGACTACCCTAAAGAATCCACAAGAAAAGTAACAGAGCTAAAAAACAAATTCAGCAATTTTGAGATATAAAGTCTACATACAAAAATCAGTTGTGCTGGGCTCGGTGGCTCAACCTGTAATCCCACGCCTTTGGGAGGCTGAGGTGAGTGAATTGCCTGAGCCTGCGGGTTCGAGACCCACCTGGGCAGCGAGACCTCATCTCTACAATAAATCAAAAAAATCAGCTGGGCGTGGAAGCGCATGCCTGTAATTCCGGCTACTCCGAAGGCTGAGGCGGAAGGATTGCCGGAGCCCAGCAGGCGCGGCTGCAGTGGCCGGGAGCGGCCACTGCACTCCAGTCTGGGCAACAGAGTGAGACTTCAACTCAAAAAAAAAAAAAAAATCAGTTGTGTTTGCTTGTTTGTTTGTTTGTTTGTTTGTTTGTTTGAATCAGTGTCTCACTCTGTTGCCCAGGCTGGAGTGCAGTGGCATGTTTATGGCCACCGCAACCTTGACCTGATGGGCTCAGGTGATCCTTCTGCCTCAGCCTTCCAAGAAACTGGAACCACAAGCGTACGCTACCACACCCAGCTAATTTTTTGATTTACTGTAGAGACAAGGTCTCGAACCCCTGAGCTCAGCAATCTTCTTTCCTCGGTCTCACAAAGTGCTGGGATTACAGGCATAAGCCACCATGTCCAGCTTAAAAATCAATTGTATCTCTACACTTTGGTAAGGAGCCTGAAAATAAAATTAAAACAATTCTATTTATAATAGTATCAAAAGGAATAATATAAATAGGAATAAATCTAACAAAAGAAATACAAAGCATGTAGTGCAAATTACAAAACATTACTGGACGAAATTAAAGAAGACTTAAATAAAAAGAAAGACATCCTTGTTAGTGGATTAGGAAACTTACTATTGCTAAGATGGCAATACTTCCCAAATTGATCTACAGATTCCACACAGTTCTCATAAAATCCCACCTATCTTTCTTATAAAAATTGACAAGCTGATCCTGAAGTTGATAGGGAAATGCAGGGAAACCAAAATAGCCACACACACACACGCAAAACTGTTAAAAAAGAACTTCCTAGTTTTAAAACTTACTACAAGTTGGGCTCAGTGGCTCAGCCTGTAATCCCGCGCCTTAGGAGGCTGAGGTGAGTGGATTGCCCGAGCCTGTGGGTTCGAGACCCACCTGGGCAACTTGGCGAGACCTCATCTCTACAATAAATCAAAAAATTAGCCAGGCATGGTAACGCGCGCCTGTAGTTCCAGCTACTTGGAAAGCTGAGGCGGAAGGATCGCTGGAGCCGAGCAGGTCGAGGCTGCGGTGGCCAGGAGCAGTCACTGCACTCCAGTCTGGGTGACAGAGTGAGACTCCAACTCAAAAAAAGGAAAGAAAGATACAGAAAGTAAAGTAATAGTTGCCAGGGGTTGGAGGAAGCAGAGAATGGGGACTATCTACTGTTTAGCATGGGGTTTCTTTTTGTGATTGTGAAAGTGCTCTGAAATTAGATAATGATGTTGGTTGCACATATTTATGAATATACTAAAAACCACTAAACTGTACACATTAAAAAGATAAATTTTATGGCATGTGAATTAGATCTCAAAAAAACATACCCATGAAGTAAAATTTGTATTGCACATTAAATTTCATAAAGCAACCTTTTTTTTTTTTTTTTTAAGAGACAGGATCTCACTATGTTGCCCAGGCTAGTCTCAAACTTCTGGGCTCAAGTGATTTTCAGCTTCCAGAGTTGCTGGTACTATAGGCATGTGCCACCATGCCCGGCTTATGAAGCATTTTTAAATTTATTTTTTATTTATTTATTTTTTTTGAGTTGGAGTCTCACTCTGTTGCCCAGGCTAGAGTGTAGTGGCGCTCTCACAACCACCACAGACAGCCTCAACCTGCTTTGCACAGGTGATTCTTCCACCTCAGCCTTCCAAGTAGCTGGAACCATAGGCGAATGCCACCACACCCAGCTAATTCTTTGATTTATTGTAGAGATAAGGTCTTCCCGAGTTGCCCAGGCTGGTCTTGAACCCACGGGCTCAGGCAATCTTCTTGCCTCCACCCCCCAAAGTACTGGGATTACAGGCGTGGGCTGCCACACCAGGCTGAAAAATGTGATTTATTGGAAAATTCTCCAAATTTGTTTCTGTTTAACATAGTAATACATGTAAATAATTATATGCCAAAGCAGTTTTATAGTTCACACTATCAAAGTCTATCTTCCAGTGATGAAATAATCAGTTACTGAACTTCGCAAAGTGTACTGAAATGCCATTAGGTATTTAGACATGAGGTTGGAAGAGATATTCTTAGGCCCATTGAAGATATTCCTGGCTGTTTATGGCAAAGCATCTTTCACTCTGCACAGTTTAAACTGGATGACCCTTGCTAAAAGGGCTCAAAATCACAAAGCACTGATTTCTCTATTGTATATCTCTCAAGTGCGGGGGAAGCACAAAGGTACTTAGTGGGTGGGAACTGAGAGAAGGATTTTTATAGTCAGACCAAAATTCAAATCTCAGCTCCATTAATTACTAGTGCCAGTGACCCTGAACAAAGCATTTGACCTCTGTTAGTCTCCTTGTCTGTAAATTGATGGGGAGGAGGGAAAGAGGGGTGGGGAGCAGCAGTATCTACCTAGGATTGATTGATTGGACTCGGACATGTAAAGAACTTATCCCAGCTTCTGGCCCAGAGTAGGCAGTCAACTATAGGTCAACCACAGCTGTCACTAACAAACCCTTTCTCCTTACCCTGGTGTTCTCTTCCTTTGCAGACAGAGTGGGAAGCTTTGGAGTTGACAGATCACCAGTGGGCACTAGATGACGTCGAAGAAGAGCTCATGGCCAAAGACCTCCACTTTGAAGGCATGTTCAAAAAGGAATTACAGACCTCTATTTTTTGAAGACTGAGCAGGGATTAGCTGTGTCAGGAACTTGGAATAGTGCTTAACTTTCTAACTTGCATCGGAGCTGATGCCTCTTGGATTTAAAAGGAGGATGCAGGCATGCAGCAAGGCTCGTTCTTGTCCAAGCTGGGTTCCCCTTTATGTCTGAAACTAGAGGAAATAAGGAGGAGTATACTGGGTGACTTGCTATTTTTAAATGTTTTAAATGTTCCTTCTGGTGACTTTAGTAATAAAAGTCATAGAAAGGAGGAAAACTCAGGCTACTGATAATATGTAACATTTTAGCAAAAATTCAGTCTTGGGAAGAAGCATTGTTAATTATAACTATGCGCAGTCAGCCTGACGTCTAGCCACAGTTAACTCCCTTCTTCTTGGGATCCACACACCCTGCATTTTACCTTTAATATTTTTATGGTATTTTTAACTTTCTTTACAAAAGTAAAACATTTTTGCAATCAAAAGTTTAGGAACTATGGGTGAGCAAAATGAAAGTCCCTGCCTTGTTGATTTTGAGCCTACAGAATGACAGAGAGAACAGTTGTGTCCAAACATCATTCAAATAAACTCTTTTCAGTGTAAATATCCCAGGCCAGGACAGACTTTGCAAATCTTTTATAGCTCTTAATATTGTCCAGTGAAAATCAGTGACCCCAAAGGCACTGCCAGATTCTCAAGTGCCTTTGGGATCTTCAGAGACAGGTTAAGTAATGCGAGGTCTTGATCTGGACACCTGAGTATTTCAAAATCCATTGGCAAATCAATGGTGCTATACTGTAAATGGCTACTCAGTTGGACAAAAGATCTCATTTCCCAGTTACTCTGAACAAGAGCGTTTGCACACCTGTAAGAAGGGAGAGAGCAATGGTTGGCAGACACATAGGTACAGTGCCCAGGAACAATTCTTTCAGGATTGACGGTCCCAGGGAGTTGACAGGGTGCCGTTTCCATACCAAGAGGTGGATGTTATTTGCATGCTAAGCAATGTAATCAAGAACAAATGACTCTTGACTCTTGAATTAAACCATCCTGTTTTCTCTTCTTTGCCTGTGAGAGTGTTGCCTCTGCGGGTCACTAACAGCTTCTGCCAACAGCTAACAAGAGTTTGTTCTGGAGCACTGCCGGGAGTCTAAGGTGAAAGAGACATGACCTTTGCCCTCAAAGATCTTATGAGAGAGACACATGAGGCTTTATTTTGAGGTCACAGAACCTCTTTGAGAATCTGATGGAAGCACAGACACAAATTTCCCGTGTAACCCAGGTGCGTTGGCAGACCCTCTAAAGCTTATTCATAATGACCCACAGACCTAAATTAAGAAATCTTGACCTTTAAAGATACTTAAAATGGGCTGGACTCGGTGGCTCGTGCTGGACTTGGCTCAGCCTGTAATCCCAGCACTTTGGGAGGCCAGAGCAAGTGGATTGCCTGAGCCCGCGCATTTGAGACCAGCCCTAGCAACTTGACGAGACCTCATCTCTACCATAAATTTAAAAAATTACCTGGGCATGGTAGTGCACGCCTGTTCTTCCAACTACTTGGAAGGCTGAGGCAGAAGAATCGCTAGAACCCAGCAGGTCGATGCTGAGGTGACTGTGAGCATGCCACTGCACTCCAGCCTGGGCAATGGAGTGAGACTCCAACTCAAACAACAACAACAACAACAA